TTAGCTTTTTTTTTGTAGTTAAGTTAGGGTTTAGGGCTAGTGTTTATAATAAAAAAGTATAGGTGGATTTTAGTAGGATTTATATTTCTAAATTGAGACCCCCACGTTTCAGCATCATCTTGTTTCAGCATCATCCCCGACAATTACTTTTGTCTCTTAAGTAAAAAATGATTCTAATCTTATTCTATATAAAAAAATATCTTTTGAAAAAATTGTCAGCACCTAGCCCATATGATTTAATACAAACTTGTAAAGAATTTCGCATTTTTACGATTGCGATAAGAAAATTTCTTATTTTCATAAAAATAAAAAAAGATTATTTATTTTTATTAACTAAATAAATGCATAATTATAGTGCATCGATATCAATATCAATGATCATAAAAATTGATCCTCTGAATAATCAAAAGTCTGACATTAGATTTAAACATACTCGAATAATCCCAGCCAATAAAAACTTCAACCTGGTATGATGTCATCTTACACAAGTCACATGAAATTTCGCGCGAGGTACGCGCGTATATACGTACGTACGCACGTCCATTCGTAAAAGATAATCCTAGTTATCTCTCCCGAAACTCACGAAAAAAAATATATAATTTTGAATGTATTCAGATGATTTTCCTCATAGCCAAATTATTACTCCTCCTTCGGTGAGGTAAAATAAAGCCAAGAGTTAAAGCTTTGATTTAGTAACTACAATGAATTTATTCTTTCTATATATTTTCGTCCAATAGAGTAAAGTTGAATCCTGCATTTATTCCACTTGAACTTCGCGCAACATCGACCGTTAAGCCCGAAACATGTTACGATAAGGCCAGAGCGATGTTACAACTTGAAGAGGTGCCTGACCATTTGCCCTGCCGTGAGAGGGAATACAAGCAGATTTATGACAAGGTAAAATCTGCAATCGAAGAATTTTCAGGACATCGAATTTGTGAGTTATCATTTGTCACTTTTTTTTTAAGCATATATATATATATTTATTTATTTAATACGTGGCTTTATGTGTACGTAGTTATATCTGGTCAACCTGGCACAGGAAAAACGGCAACCGTTCGACAGGTCATAAAAAACCTACAAAAAAAAGTCACGCAAAAGGTTTTTTGGTTTAGATGTTTGTACACGGCGATTACAGAATATTTTACCTTGGCACTAATGTAGTCCACTAATAGGAACTACATCCCTTCGAGTTTGTTGAAATTAATGGAATGGAAATGAAACCTCCAGAGAAAGCCTACTCTGCTTTATGGGAAGCTTTAACGGGAGACTGCATAGCTGTTAAAGCTGCTGAAGACTTATTATGTAAAACTTTTAATGAACTATCACAGCGAAATCCAATGTAATTTATTTTTTTTACTATTCTGATTTATAAATTGACAACTATCGCTCTTCGCTAATAGTGCATTCGCCTATGATTGACAGTGTGTTAATGATCGATGAATTTGATGTCATGGTCACTAAAACGAACAGAGTGATTTATAACTTTTTGGAGTGGACAACTTTACAAGATTCGTATCTTATTGTTATTGCCTTAACTAACAGAATTGATTTGCCAGTTACAATGTTGTCAGCAAGAAGTGAAAGTCGAATAGGTATACGTAGTTTTGATTGTAATTTTGTCTTTAAACAAAAAAAATACACTCATTTTTTTGTTAAGGTTTGGATAGGTTGACTTTCGCGCCATATACGCACACGGAATTATATACTATAGTGAAATCACGACTTGAAGGAATTGAATTGTTTGAAAATAATGCTATTGAATTTGTGGCAAGGAAAGTTAGTTCTATCTCACAAGATGCAAGGAATGCTTTATGTATTTGCAGGTTAATTATATATTTGATCTTCCGAGTGTCTCTCGTTTATTTGTATCTATTAACGAGTGATTGTCTTTAAGGCGTGCTATAGGAATTCTCGAATTTTTAGCGAAGACAAATGATGAAATAAACAATAAGGTTACCATTGATATAGTTAAAGAGGCCATAAAAAAAACGAATACGCCGTGGTCGAAATACATCAGAAAATGTTCTTTTCGAGCAAAAATGTTTCTATGTACCTTATTGTTATTGCGGAGGGACAGGAATCATGAGATTGAATTTAAAGATGTACGGAATTTTTTGTTTGAATTAATTGTCCATTAATGAAATATAATAATTTTAATTATTATTTTAGATAATCGGTAAATATACCAAACTATGTAGGATAAAAGGTATTCAAACACCAACATGTACTGAGCTATCGAACATAGCATACGATCTCGCGTCGTCTTCAATTGTGTCGATGGATCCGAGTAAAGATATTTATGCACAAATTAAGTTCAACGGTAACGAAGAAGATGTGAACATGGTGTTGAGTGATGACATATTCTTTCGGGATCTTGTTAAATGCTAATAATACATGGATTCCTTTTATTATATTATTTGCATCGTGCGACAGATATCCATACTTTTATAATAAATCGTTATTTAAACGACCTAAAACCAATAATAATTTTAAAAAACATTTTTTTCACGTTAAATAAAGTAGTTCCTCTTCGAGTATTGTGTTTAATATTTAATGAATGTCACGTACTATCTATTCTAACCTTGGGAGTATAGGAAATATCGATATACTAATACAGTATATTATAGAGGTCGGAACCGGTTAATAAAATTCGGGTATAAATTCGGGTTAACCCGATTTACAGTAATATTACAGCTATAATTCCTGAAACACCTGATAAAAATTAGCCGAATGATTTTTCGGCCGATTCGGTTAAGTTTATGATTTCGGCATA